TGCTTAAATCAAGAACCAAGCCTCTTAATTTGAGCGGATTTCCTTTTGATTTAAGCAAATATCCGATTGAATCAAGAGTATTTTTTCTTGTCAATGTTTTCAAGAGTCTGGACTCTAGATCCAATGTGTTTTTATTTTCCAGTGTATAAAGTCAGCTTGTTTCTCCTCGAAAATCGAAAGCAGGAGCAGAGATTTTAAAATTGAGATACGTGGTTTCACACTTCGGCCATCCTATGGATCGGCAAGTCCCACTGTGCGACGACGAGGGAAGTTGGAGTGAGGCGGAGGTGGTGGCACTGTGTTACGATGACCCGAGGCGGACAGGCGTTGCCGTGCTTATGGCTCACGCTCCTCTTCACCCACATCTTCCGATTAATCTGCCGTTTGAATCTATGGAAAAGGATCGATAAACAGGGTGTTCGCGACGAACACCTTAACACTCGATTCTTTGCCGTAGATCCAAACGGGGAAATATCGATAATCGATCATTCACGCCTCGTAACTAACTTTATCAAGCACAAAGCATAGATATCCTATCAATTCCTCACAGAGTATAATCTAGATGGACAGTGAATCAGTTAACACTCAATCGAGAAGGAAAACAAGGAGCTGGGAGAGGCTCAAGGCTAAAGGTTCGAGAGCTCCTTTGTGCATATACACGGGTGAAGGAGGTACCATCAGTTTTATCACCCGTATATTCCATCGAAAAAAAGCTTCGTTTAACTTAATACATGCCAATTATGCTATACTATTGTGTCAAGTTTGAAACGTTGCAAAGTCCCCACGTGAAAACGGCTGTTTTAATCCGTGATGCTCTGCACGGTTTCTTTTATATGGTTTTATACAGACGCACCCTCTAAAACTTTTATGCAAATACATTTTTGGTTTGCTTTTGAGAAAAGGAGTGAGGCTTAAAAGAGTGAAACCTTACAGTGGAGGTAGTGTATCTCTTCTTATCATTGCTGTGAGTTATATTTAGGAAAATTTCCAAAAGTTAAGATTTTTGGTTACGAAAGATTCCTTCGGGGTGTTGTTCATAACGGTACCTTAAACAGCTCCTCTCTTCAGGAATCCCCATTTAGTTTACATTGTGTTTAAAGGGAAGTTTCAGGAAGTCCCCAAAATACCACCATAAAAAGCGCAATTTTTGCCAACCTCCGGTAAAATTCGGCAGTTTGACTTTAGAAATAGATTTTTGCGAGGGATTAAAACGATTTCCCGCTGCAAATAGCAAAAAATCGGAAGAAAAAATTCTTTGCTTCGGAAACTTTAAGATCAGTGCGAACCTTCCTTACAATTTACAAAAATTGCAATACATTTTCTTCCCTGTTTTGTATTTTGTCGTGACCGCAATCATCGTAAACATTCTCAAGGACCCATTCCCGTAGTTATAATGCTGGATTCTACTCGAAATTTCATTATTTTTATGATGATATGTTAAGGATATTCTTAGACTTTACTTGATCATAATTTTGAACCGTTTACAGTGCCATAGAGAAAAGAACTATTCATAGAAGGACTATGAATACGACCAGCTCGAACACGGAAAATTCGATGCACTGATTCTCAGTCACCGAGTGGCCCGTATCAAGGGAACAAGTGCACAAGAATCACCGCGATCCTCCCTGTTTAAACACGTCCCCCTCCCCTCTGTTCGTCCTGAATTTTGACACAATAAAGGACGGCCTTTGAGGGTGCTCACGCGAACGAACGATCCTATAAACGCATTGACAAGAGCGCTCTTACAAAACCCCGCGGATGGGAGGTGGGGGAGGGGGGTCTAATCTGTTTTGACAGGGTTTAGGGGAGGCGGGAAGGTAAATTAGATCACCTACATAGAGAGAATTGAGATGCAGTTTCAGGTGTTCTGCCCCTCGAGTTTAAATGAACTATACATGGGGCAAAGCGGTCAAAGGCTCATATAGAATTTTTTCCATTTTGCCCTCTTTCCCAACAAATTATTTTTCAAAGGATCTTAGTGAAAATCAATTGATAAATATATTAATTTGAGAGTCATCATTGTGATGCGTCCATCATGTGACGTCAGTATTGAAACAAAAACTCTATCGGTATTTTGCAACCAACAGCTGGTTCGACCGGTTGAACATAACCTAAAAACTTGGGATCGGATTGTGCAACCCGCGTGGGTATTACAAGTGCATCGCCGTTGCGAGCACTGTTGCCAGTTCAGTGGAGAATAGCTTTGGTGTTATCTGATATTTTTGAGAAAATTTGGACGATTCTGGCAACAGTCTTTGCGAGGTTGCATAACCTCGTGCTGGTCAGGCGGGCGGTTTGGCACACAGACAAATTGCAGCCTTTGGCGAAAAATATTCCTTCAATTCATCTGTCTTTGCTCCCCTCCGGTCGGTTGTCCATGATGCATTTCGTTGAAAAAGATTTGACACACATTTTAACAACTCTTTGCTAAACAGTAGGAACATGTCATCTGCAATGATTTGTTTTAGTCATTTTAAAATGAATATTTCAATTCGAAAATGTTGATATTAAATCGTCCTCAAATATTCTACGTGAATCATCACGTGCAAGAAAACTAGCAGCCCTATTCACCATCTATTTTCCAATCAATCCCCCATATAAATAGTCAGATGGTCTCTGTCGGCGATTTTGTGATGAGCGCAATAACTATTGGCAGAATTGCGTCAACTTATTCAAATTTTATAATGGTATGTATTTAATACATTGTATGAAGGTTGGTTCAAATTTTAGCTCTAGCGCATTTACAGTTTACCTTTAAACGATCAATAACGTAAGTAGTGCTCCTACGTTATTTCCCGCAAAACCGCTTTTTTTCAGAAGGAGATTAAAAAGAGGTAGAGGAAGAAGAAAAGAGAAAAAAGAACGAGTGGGAAAAACGTGGAAGAAAAAGAAGGATATGAGGAGAGACGCGAACACACCGCACGGGATACTATCAAATGTGGAGGGTGTAACTTCGCCTTCAATTTCAGCGTAGGCAACGCGAGCTCCTATGTGGTCGAATAGTGGTATCATCTTCCATGTAGGGGTCGGACGGTTTTTGTCGACAGATCCGTTATAGACACGATAACATACGAGGTAGAATACAGATAAACACCGACAAACATATTTGTGTTCTTGTGTTACTTTTGGTTAATATTGAAGGTAAAACACAAACCAACCCAAATTTTGTGTTAATTTTGGTACAATTTGCGGTGGATTTAGCGCAGAATGTAGAATACATCGAAAAGACTGGGAAATCCCAGTGTCACCCAAAGGTTTGGGTTATTTTGTGTTAAACCTCCCGTATTAGCCGAACTTTTGTGTTGAGTTTTCTCTTTGTGAAGTGAGCAATTGTTAAATCATTTTTGCCAGAGCATTTAAACCCGTAACTCCTGTCAAGGGCTTTTTGCTGGTCCATCTTTTATTTACCTGGTCAACTATAACCTTAACTCTCGGCGTTATTTGGCCATTCTTTCCATTCTAGAGCCTGACTCCGTTTAAACACATCTGAATCCTATGCAAACATATTTATCAGAGGGAAGCAGCTATGAAACTGCAAACGTTTATTCCTGGAAAATTTAACGTTTTGGCACTACTTTTGTCTTGGTCTTGATCACGTGAAAATTGAATATTATAAATCTCCTCACTGCTTTTTTTCCTCTTCTGTTAAGCCCTCTGGGAAAAATAATAGCCTTTAGTCAAAATACATTTTCGACTCGTTAGGTCTGCTCGTGCGTTTCAAAAACAACGCACAGCAGAATGACTAAACATTTGGTTGATGAAAGCTTCTCGGACAAAAATGAAATATATTGATGATTTAAAAGAATATTGGCAAAGGTTGATTCAAGGTGAATTTGCGAAAAAATGTATTGACCTCAAAACTTAATTCCCGCAGCTTCGGTTTTTTATTGTGGGCCGTGAGCCTTTAAGCAGCCTTTAAACTTGAACTCTTCTTGTTGAAACCGCAAAAATGCATTTAGATAAACACTTCAAATGTTAGTGCGCTAAAAACCTACTTTCCTCTTAAACTTTTCGTGAAATCAAATCAATTCAACTGCATTAAAGCCACAAGAATTTGTTGCCAACCAAGCAACACATTTCAATCAATCTTTCGTAACAGTTGTGCATATAATTTTAATCAAGGCAATCCTTAAATTCAAATACTTCAAAATGAACGGTAGCTGTTTTTGAAGTGTGCATTTAATTTCACAGTTTTTTTTTTTTTTTTTTTTTTTTTTTTTTTTTTTTTCCCCAATTTTTAGAGTATTTTCGAGCAGTACACACAATGATAATACACGTGCAGTTCCTCGTAAACCTCCAAAATAGTTTTCCTCATGATGTGAACAAAATTCTACATTAGTTTGCCTTCTTTTAGCGTTTGTCGTAGCTCGTATTTTTTTACAACAATAAAATGCGGTCTTAAATTGGTTTTTAACCTTTGAACGTAAAAAAACAGACAAAATGCAGACAATGTGTAGGTATCAAGTGATCAGAGATCATAAAACATTTTTTCTGAAATGAAAATCTTAGGAATCGGACAAGTTTAGACAAAAAGTGAGTATAAACGTGGCATGAGAGTCATATGCGTGATGAGGAAGTGACCCTCTACACCTCCCCTCATCACCATTCTTTAACGCATTACTGACGGATTTTTTCTGATGATAAGTTTACAGATGGAATTACGCACGGAAGGACCGTTCCAGTTGAACTTTTAAAAGGCAATATCCATAGGAAGGGTACAAAACGGACCGTAAAGAAGGGGAGGCGTAAACTAAAGAGGATGCTTGCAACACCCTTAAAAATTAACCAAAATTTCTGGAAAAACGTATGATGTTCCATTCCTGGATGACATTATCACTCGCCTGAATGCTTGGCTTCACAGGGGTAAAATATACACTAAAATGTGTGTTGCAATCAGTAAAAAAGTTGTATCCAATTCCTAAAATTTTCAAGTCAATTCCCGTAGCACTGCACTGCATTAGCACTGCAGTCGTTAAAAAAAAGGTAAAAATTATACACACCTTTGTGTTTTGTTGGGCGGATGAGGAAATCCGGAGGACTGCCATGTCTGTCGTGTTGTTCTGTGTTGCGGTCAACACTCGGCGAGAGTGTAGATAAGCACAAATATCAGTATAATCCAGTCGGGTCGAGAGTAAGGAGAGCCATCGTTGATGCTAGAAAAATCCGGAAAACCAATTTACGAACGAGGAAGATGCCGAAAGCTCACTTGCGCGATTTAAACTCGTTAGAAGTGACTTTTAGGGCCTTTGGCGTACTTAATTACGGAAATGTGCTCGAATTACGTTTACGCGTTTTTCAGCGGTGCTCCTAGGCGATAAGGCTAGCTAGTTCCGGCTGAGATTCGGGGATTTTTTGAAAATTGGATCGGATTTTTGAGCAGGGGGAAGAAGGGCGGAAGACGGATGCGGGGGACGACGAAAGGACTCGTGAGTCGGGTCAGTGAGGAAGAGTGAGGATGAGTGACGCGCGGTGCCGAGTGAGAGACAAGCGAGCGACTGCCGGGCTCGGCCGAACGCTGCAACAGCTGAGCCGAGTCCCGCGGTCCGACCCACCCGCCCGCACAGTGGCGCCCGCCAGCTCCATTATTGAACACATTGATAAGACTAGAAAATTATCTCTGTTGTAAAAAAAAAAAAAATAAAAAATAATAAAAAAAAAACAAGCGGGAAAGTTCTACTACGTTCGTAATGGAGAACTCATTCCGTAGGAACTGAATAATCCATAAAGTTCTGACCGAAATCGACACCAAAAATTCAACATCGGCCCATCCGTGTCAAAAATAGTGACTCCTGAAGATGGGGGATAGAGCTCCTCTTCAAAATCGACGGAAAGGCTCGGTTTTGGTATGTCCATGTGGTTCTGGTCATGATCTGGACTTCGTTCATCCTAAAATAACCGAGGAAAAGGCCTGGCACGCACTGAAAAGAAATTCTCGGCGTTTTTACGAAGGTCCGCTGGTACCTTTACCATCTCACTTTTTTTTTTACCAATGATTGGTAATTTTACCAAGACAGACTGGTAAGCTTACCTAAAAACCGGTATTTTTACTGTTTTTTTCAGGTAAGAATACCACTTTTATTGGTAATCAATGCCCGGTAACTTTGCCATTTTATCTCGGTAATTCTACCACAGTCGATAAAAAATACTGGCGTTTTTACCAAGGTCCAGTAAAATTACCGAGCAAGTTTAATAATTTTACCGAGATTTCTCAGTAAAATTACCAGCTCCATAAATGGCAATTTTACGAAGAAAAAACTGGGATCAAATAGAACCCTGAATTCTTGGTAATTTTACCCTTTTCTTAGTAAATACACCGAGATTTTTTTTTCAGTGAAACCTAAGTGATGAACAGTAAATCTATAAAATGACTCGTGAGCGAATATTCCTGACATTGCGGTATTGTGAAGTGTCCTTTAAACTTTAAGACGGCTACCGCCTTAATTCAAAATCTTCCCATGAATGAAAAAAAAGGGCTTCGAACCTTGTCTGCTGTTCAGACTGCAAATAAGTAACTATTTTTTCGTTGTGATATAGTAGAGTATCTATCCAATAGGAAGGCGCATTGTATTACATGCAGCTCAGACTGTCCGGCAAGAAAGGGATGAGCAATATGTTGCCACTACTGGGTTTAACTTTCGAACAGGGGTCTCGGATAGATGGGTATTGAAGGAAGTTTTTCTAAAGAAAAGAAGAATTGGTAGGTGGCGTTGTCGCGTTGTTACGACAAGTTAAGTTTTCAGACTGGCAACTATTTTAACTCTGCGGTATTGCGGTGTATCCTCGCAAATTGAAGGCGCATTGCAAGCCTTCGCAGACTCGATTGAATAGCTGGGTCGCATTGCGTTATGATTATCTCAATTTCATGCATCATCTTAGAGGTATGGGAAACTGAGGGACGTGTTCTTAGTCGTCCCTAAATCTTGAGTTCATTTCCTTGAGGAGTCACTAAATGGTTGACATTGTAATTTAGGAGCCCCTAAATGTGACATCATGGAGAGGATAGTTTTTTCGAGACTCGAGGATGATTCGACAAATTGACTTCGAGAATAGATGTTTACAAAATATTGCAATGATTCGACACTAAAAAATTCAAACCATTTAATAAAAAATTCTAAGATGTTGAAAAATTTAAAGGTAGGTACGGACCTACACGTTAAAATGCTTCTAATTTGCAACATTTTTTCTGTTGTATGTTACACGTGGTGGCGAATCATTGTAATCCCTCGTAAGGATTAATTTCAAAAGTTAATCCGTTGAATTGCGCTTCAAGCGCGACTAAAATTGTCTTTAAAGTGATACCATTTGAAAGGACTCCTCTCAAGGAAAACATAAAAAGCCCTCCTTGGGAAAATAGCTACCTAAGAAGCGACTGAGAATGCGATACGAATTCCATTCTGGGTCATGTTACACCACTACTCGCATTACGCATCGTGCCAATTTGATAAGATTGCAAATTAGCAGCTACTTACTGGGTGGACTTTTTGGTGTTGCGGGGTATCCTCGAAATCTAAAAGCGCATCGCATGAGCTCTCAACAATTATTTGTCGCTGGATCGCGCTGAATTCTGTCAACGTGCCAATAAGTTAAGGCTGCGAATAGGCAACTATTCCGTCTTTGTGGTATTGCAGGGTATCCTCGCTAATTGAAGGCGCTTTCCAAGATCTCTCAGCTAGTGATCATTCGTTGCTAAGTTGTACCGCGTCGCGTCACGTCACTTCGTGCCGTGACGATAAGTAAAGATTGCGATAGGCAATTATTTCGACTTTGTGATATTGTAGGGTATCCTCTTCGATTTAAGGCGCATTGCATGGATTAAAGGTGCCGGATCAGATGTGGATCCTCCAGACCGTACCCTGTCAATGACAGTGGCAATTTTTGAAAGTTGGCAACACTGTTTTACCTCCATTTAATTCCATTAAAAATCTCTATTTTAGGTGAAACCATTTGCCTTACCAATAATCGATTCTTGTTCATGAATTCAAATGGAGGTAAAGCAGTATGGAGATGTTGCATGTGTGAGGGATTTGCGATTTGACCATTGATTCTTTTGTAAAAGTTCGCGAGAAACACGATGGTGCCACTGGTTTTCTCTGAAATCAACTCTCAAGCTCAAAAAAAAGCTCTTAAAGTGAGGCCAAAATGGAGGGGATATCCCACCCTACCCTGAGAGTCCACCTCTACATCAAAACAAACTCTCCGTGCAAAGATAGGGAGCAAATACATTGGCAGGGTTGCCACTTTATTTGGGGACTTCAAAACTGAAAACACGGCATCACTGCTAATGTGTTTGCTCCCTATCTTTGCATGGAGAGATTGTCATGATGCAGAGGTGGACTCTCAGGGTAGGGTGGGATATCCCCTCCATTTTGGCCTCAACTTGAGAGCTTCTTTTGAGCTTGGGAGTTGATTTCAGAGAAAACCAGTGGCATCATCGTGTTTCTCGCGAACTTTTACATAGAAATCAACAGTCAAATTGCAAATTCCTCACACATGCAACATCTCCATTCAAATAGAGGTAAAGCAGTATTGGTACTGCCAACTTTTAGGAATCACCATTCACCACTGCAGTACGGAGTCACTCTAGCTAGCGGTGGTAGATGGATCCTTCCATGCTGAATAAGTGCATCCGAAAATTCTTGCGGCAAATGCCACTTTGCCGCGGTGGACCCGTGGGCGGGGGGGGGGGCGGAAGGCGGCTCAGCGCATGCGCTTTTGCCGTCTTCACCCATGCCCAGTTCCCGGCGTCGCGGCGCGCGCGTCGCTTTAGCGCGGGACTCCTGTTCGCGAGTTTTCCTTCTTCAACTGCACGCGGAAGCTGGCACGCCGCCGAGACGTAAGAAAACGTCAAAATCGTCCGCCCTGTAGGCAGAAGTCCCTGCATTAATGGAGGTGTTGCATGTGTGAGAAATTTGCGATTTGACTGTTGATTTCTATGTAAAAGTTCGCGAGAAACACGATGGTGCCACTGGTTTTCTCTGAAGTCAACTTCCAAGCTCAGAAAAAGCTCTCAAGTTGAGGCCAAAATGGAGGGGTTATCCCACCCTAGCCTGAGAGTCCACCTTTACATCAAGACAAACTCTCCACGCAAAGATAGGGAGCAAATACATTGACAGGGCTGCCGTGTTTTCAGTTTTGGAGTCCCCAAATAAAGTGGCAACCCTGTCAATGTATTTGCTCCCTATCTTTGCATGGAGAGTTTGTTTTGATGTAGAGATGGACTCTCAGAGTAGGGTGGGATATCCCCTCCATTTTGGCCTCACTTTGAGAGCTTTTTTTGAGCTTGGGAGATGATTTCAGAGAAAACCAGTGGCACCATCGTGTTTCTCTTCAAATAAGTAACTATTTTTTCGTTGTGGTATAGTAGAGTATCTTTCCAATAGGAAAGATACTTTTTATTTGGGGACTCCAAAACTGAAAACACGGCGGCAACCCTGCTAATGTATTTGCTCCCTATCTTTGCATGGAAAGTTTGTCTTGATGTAAAGGTGGACTCTCAGGCTAGGGTGGGATTTCCCCTCCATTTCGGCCTCAACTTGAGAGCTTTTTTTGAGCTTGGGAGTTGATTTCAGGGAAAACCAGTGGCACCATCGTGTTTCTCGCGAACTTTTACATAGAAATCAACAGTCAAATCTCAAATTCCTCACGAATGAAACATCTCCATTGAATCAGTGAGAACGGAAACACATCAACTCGGTAACTCGAAAACAATTTTCATTAAAGACAGTCAATTTTCCCGCAGGTCATTGAAGTTAGCGCATCTGTTCCAACTTGGACCATTGAAAGGTCCTTCAGTACTTGTCTTTCGGCACCAAAAATCTTTTCCTTGGACTGAATTCTTCACCTCCTGTGCAATTTAGTGTGTGTCTTCATTTTTCTCATTTTGTCGAGTTGGTGTGTTTTCGTCCTCACTAAATCAATTATTGGCGAGTTAGGACGTTTAAGACGAGCGCACAGAGTGTAAAAGAGGTTTAGGCCAAAGAGCCAAGGCCTAAACATTATTTCTTAGCAAGCACGCATTTTTTCATGGGTTTCAGCAAGTTTTTTTTTTTCTGCAGAGCACCTAGAAAGATGCTTTGTGTTTGGTACCCCTTTGGAAAACGAATCGTCCAATAATTACCTTTTTTACCCCTCTCTGGGAACCAGGGAATTTACTCAACTGTGTATAATTTGAAATTTAATGATCAGACTCGCCTCTGACTGAAGTTTTTGCATAGGTTCAAAGTTGTTTTTGGTCCTAAGTGCAGAATGATCCAGTTTGCATTATTCGGGATCAAAAAATATGTTCTTCTGTGCTAAAAATATATACTTTTTTGCAGTGTCACTTTGCTTCTTAGCTTTGAGCGATACAAACTATGATAGAGGCTCATCTTGTTAACTCCAATTTTAATCAAATGTCAGTAAAATCTCCAGATTTGCTGGGAAAGAAGCAACTTTTGTTGATGGTTCTTTCTGCACTCTTTAGACATTATGCAACGATTAATAAGCCCAGTTTTCTTCGAGTTGTGAAGTTTGCTAGGTAATCAGCACTTTGCCAAACGCTCAACGAGGAATTGCTTATTTTTCTGCGTAAAACTCTCCAAAAAAAAAAAAAAAAAAAAAAAAAAAAAAAAACCATGATAGGGATTGAGGAGAAAGGTTTAGAAAAAAAGAAGAAATGCTTTTACACGTATGACGTAACCTTGAAATGGCTTCGGTTTTTTAATCTGAAAGAATCTATAATTGCGTGGGTGTTATAATAGAGCCAAAAATTAGCGACGGAACAAGCGTTTTCCAAGGTTTTCTATTTTTTTTTTTTTTTTGTCTTTGGCTCTCTTTTGCTCGAATAAGTTCGTCTAAAGTGATCAAACCTATGTAAAAACCTTATGAACGCTTTTTATGACCTCGGAGCTTCCAGGCCCATCAAATTATTCATCCCAAGAAAAATCCGACGGTTTTTTCTTCCTATTGACTTACGACTTAGTGTGAGGCCAGTCGTTATTAAATTACTTCATTCAATGTTTTGAGGGGGACGGATAAAATATTACGCTTTCTTCGTTAATGATATTTGAGTATTATAATTAGTTGTTGTTTTTTTTCTCTGCATATAGTATCGCGAGTCTCTCAACGAAATTACTGAGGTCTATTTTTCATATACGTTTGGGACCAGAATGTTTAAACAAATGACGAATTATTATCCTTCCTTTCTTATAAATAAAAAGATGAAGGCAGTTATATGAAGAAAATTTTGCATCGTATTCATGACTGTTTTTTTGATACTGCGCGATTAGATTGCGGCAATACAGCCAGCTCAAACCACTGAGACCTTCATACTCTCTTTTTCTTCCCAGCTTGAGTCTGCTTGCAATTTTTCTGGTTGAATTTTAGATTCAGAAACAAGATGGAATTAATTTGATTGCAATTAGCACCAGTTTCGCTCCTTGCTCGCTCCATGATGGATCCGCGCACAATGGAGCGGCTCGCAGCGGATTCTGCGAAACAATTTTGCACGCCAAGCACAACCGATGCAGATTTCGATCCGTGAATATTGGGTCTCGGAGCGTCTCGCGTTCCTGGTAGACCGCGAGTCGATAACCGCGATGCCGACGGAAAGAAGAACACCGTATGAGCCTTCAAATGTTGTCAAACAATTGAAAAAATTCAAATTTACAGGTGAAGGTCAGAATAGTTTCCCTCCCATTTTCTGGAAAATTTAATTCCCAGTTTGATCGAAATCAGAAAATTTTAAGGAAACTCAAATGATAACCAGGGAGGCAAAATTTCATGAAAAATACGTCGTCCCATGGCGAAGGAAGAATTCCGTATGAGCCTTCAGATGTTGTCAAACAATTGAAAAAATTCAAATTTACAGGTGAAGTTCAGAATAGTTTTCCTCCCATTTTCCGGAAAATTCAATTCCCAGTTTGATCGGAATCGGTAAATTTTAAGGAAACTTAAGTGATAACCAGGGTGGCAAAATTTCATGAAAAATAAAATCTTGAAAAACGTGAAATATTTCATGAAATTTCAGAAATTTATGAAAGCTATTGGAAAATGTCAGTTTCTTTTCATGTTTTGCGAATTGTAAAAATTGTGCTTTTTTTCTATTTTTGTGTGTTTGAGTGCGCCTTGCATACTCTAGCCCCTGAAAAATATGAAATATTTAACAGCCTCGTGGTATTTCAAGAAGTACTTCACTGATATTTCTAATCTTTCTTTTCTCTCTTACGTTTCATGCCACCCTGGTGATAACTTTCCTCAAATATTAATCGCGTTATCGCGGGGAATTCAGCAGTATGCAATTGTTCGAACGTCGTTCTTCCTTAGTATGCTGCCGTGATGAGGAAGAACGCCGTATGAACCTTCAGGCATTGCCAAGTTTCCTTCAATAAAAACAGAATTGTCACGGTAACTTTTGGATATTATTTTCCCAATTTTCAGAGAACTTCATTTGTAATTTGATCGAAAGTATGTGAGTATTTTAAGGAAAAATATCCATAGCCTTGCTCAAAAAATAAAGTTTTATTTGGAGAAATGTGGCAACTCCTGAAGACTCACATGGCGTCCTTTCTTAGCATGATAGTGTGGCAGCCCAGCGGCTTTTGTATGTTATGAAAAATTTGCGAACTCACAATCAGACAATCATCTGTATAAGATTCTTTTGCTGTTGACTTTGAATTCAAATTCGGATGCAAATTTTTAAACTGCAAGAAAAAGACACTTCATTCGGTCGTCTTGGAGTTAAAGAACTCTGCCTCCATTCAGGGTTTTGAAAATAATTTATAAAGTTAGTCTCCATGGTTGGATATGCAATTTCCAAGGATTTAAATCCACGGTTTTCGGACAACTCGCCTTTCAATTCTCATTTCCTGTTCTTGTTTGTATTTATGCGCTTGCAATGTACGTGGTTTGTTGTCTTATGCCTCACGAGATGTGGTATGAATGTAAACATTTTCATGGATTTCTAAATAATCACCAATTCTCTTTCATCTTTGGAACTGCATCATTGACATTTTGAAAATTGATTATCCGAACCGAAAAGTTTATAGCTGAGCCTACTTGCAACTTTATCTGGACCCTTAATTTTATTCAATTCGGAAAACTTGGAAATATGTTATTCGAAGAATTTCCGAATTGCAACCAATTCGGGCGTCTTAAAAATGATCATTTATTTTTTGTTTGTCGAATGCTTAATGCTTATCGATAGCAAAGTACCAAACCGCGGATCTCGATTGTGGCGTTTGACAATTCCCGTTCAAAGTTTAATTCTTCATGATTAGTTTACTGCTCGATTTTTAAGAGTGAGAATTTGGAAGATGGTTGTTGAAAGAACACAGAAAAGGCAGAGGAAATTGTGTAACGAAAAGATGATCAGACTTTTTTCCAGAAAAGTAGAATGTGACAGGAGATTCACAAAGTTACACACCGAGGCACGTGGTTTGGTACTTTCATCGTAATCGCAATGGACCACTAGACAAGGTACGAATTTCAGCATTCTGATACATGATCTTATCCAAAATTTCACATAAAACAAGATACGCACAAAGAAAATTACCGAAATAAACTCCTTGCGAAGATATTTAATGATTCTTGATGCGTGAATTCAAACCACCCGCTCATGAAAACTCAATGCTCTACGTGATTCACATCGCGCGCTAAACGTTTATCATGACAGGCTCTGCGATATGAAAATCTGGCAACCTCAATCTTGACACTTTGGCTCAGCTATAGCAAATTGCTTATGGTTTGCACAACACATGGTGGGAAATGAATATTGCTCGATTGAGAGGCTCGCTGAAACCGTTGTAGTGCGCGATTTGACTCACGCAGAGCTTTGAGTTTCTTGTGAGCGGGCAGTTCCAATTCCTCGTAACCAATGTGAAAATAAGAACGTTAATATTTTCGTTAGGAGTTGGTTTCAGTAATTTTAGTTGCGCGAATCGTGTTCTACGTGAAATTCTGGTCAAGAAACATGTATCAGAATCCTTTAACTCGTACCTTGTCTAGTGGCCCATTGAAATTCCAAAGTTCTATCAAGACGTCTCGACAAAGGCGAAGCGTGAATAATCGATTATCGATATTTCCCCATTTGAAGCTGTAGTAAAGAATCGATTATTAAGGTGTCCGTTGCGGACAGCCTGTTGATCGATCCTTTTCCATAGGGTCACCGGGCAGATCAATCGAGATATCGCAAAGCACGCCACGCCATTGGTCCCGATGCGACGCACACTGGTTCGGGTCAATAGGAGAAGGCGGACAAAATTTGGAACCTTTAAAAATGTATAACTCCGTTTATACAAAACGTAGGGTTTCAAAATTGGTTTTATTGGTTTCCTCGTAAAATTTTCAGCCGAAAGCAGCCCTTAAAATTTAAAATGTGACGAAATAAGCATCGAAATTTGCAGTTTTAGTAAAAAAATTTAATTGCCGACCTCTCTAATTGACTCGAACCACTGTGCGACGTAATCGTTCAATATGTATTGTGCAATGAAATGTAAAATATTTACGACCCATGCCCTAAAAAGTGCAGGAGTGTTTCTTGTTTTTTGGAAATTTGGTCTTGTACGTTTCAGAAATATTTCTTTGTAATTTTAAATTATTCTTTTTTATTTATTTATCAAAATTTGATAAACATTCGGACGATGATAAAACAATTTAGCAATGTTATTTTTATAGAAATGTTTCTGAATATTTTCATAATTATATAACAAAGCTTGGTAAAGTTTTCAATAATTATATGTTAAAAAGCTACGAATAATGAATGTCTAGAGAGCGAGTTGAGCAACTTCTGCAAAAAATTTTAAAAATGAGGAAAAAACTGAGTAAACCTGGGAATTATTAGTAAATCAGCACGGGAAGGATCTGCAAGATAATTACTACTTTTGTAGCATTCGTGATTTCTCAACAATTATTGAGAGAAACAGAGACTTTTTAAGAGAAAACCAGTAAAAGGAAAACTTGCGGTTTGAGATAGGGAGAGAATTAAAGATAAAACAATAAATGACAAGACAAACAAGTTTCTTTGGCATTAAAATTAATTATAATACAATAAATTATTTTACAATTATAATCTGATTAATGTACAAACTGGGATTCCTTAAAAGCAAAATTCTATTAAGTCTTTGTGTGATTCGGGAGATTGTCCCACTATTTTTTCTTCCATGCTCTCCAAACAGCCGAAGGGCTGGGCCCGCTTGGCCTTGGGCAACTATTGCGTCCGGAAGGAACATTTCTGCAACAAAAACACAACACGAGAACATTAGTCCAAGGTCATATACAATTACACGGATTACAAGAGACAATTCTCAAGGAATTAAATTTCAAAAATTTTAGTCCTCAAATTTCCCCTTCAATGCAGACATTCGAGAAAACAAGCTCACATTACTTTCGTCACATGAGCAACGAACTAACACGTACATCTACACGAAGAAAGTGAGTAATTTAAAAATAGAGTCAGACAGGAAACATTCCTCCTATGCTCAGCAATTTCTACTTCAAACGATGTGCATTTCATTCTCATATTTAGTTCAACTGGAAATGTGATTGCTTCGCTCAGCATAAAATTGCACAGGTGCAATTTTCACACGCTACGTATAGAGTTATTAATTGCAATTTCATGTGCTCGAAGGTCAATAAATACAAAATTGAAAAAAGGGAGTTATCAATGATTCGAGCAGGCTGTTTCAGTACAGTACTGGAACAGTGGCACAGCCAGAAATTGATCACAGGGTTGGGGGAGGGGTCTACGGTTAAAAATTTATCGTGGAAGGAGGGAGTTTGAATGTAAAAAAGTCCTGTAACTCATACAAAAAAGACGCTCATTCGGGTAAATTTTATAGTCATGGGAGATTCATACCCTCTGGCTACCTCGATATGCTCGAATTAAGAAATTTCCGATTCGTATTGAAGTATTTCATTTGAAGCTGTTCCTTGATGACTGTATGTATTGTCGTGTCTAGCCACTCACTGACTAAATACAATCGTCTTGAATGGTGACTAGATTTTTAGTGACATTAACTTGAAAATTTAACGTTTATTTGCAGCTTCATGTATCATTTAATTTCTAAAATTAAGCATGAGGGTGGATGAATGCAACGAGACTATACAATACTGCGGTCAACACGAACGTCAACCAAACTTGGTGCGCAAGGTCAATTTTGGAGTCCAGGTGAAGATTTGACGTGAGGCGTCACCTCATTATGAAAAACAGAGCTTTATAAAATGTGATGACCCCCCCCCTCCCCACCCAAAAAAAAGGAAAAAGTACTCAAATGTCCCACCGACTAATTAAACGCATTCTAGCATGAATTGTAAATCATAAAAATTGCGCCCCGTTGCACATTACGTTGTTATCCGAACAAAGGAACATAACTTCATTCCAAGGTTGCAAAATTGACTCCAGCAGTATAATTTCTTACAAAAATTCACGTGTGGTTTTCTTATTGAACATTTTCCTGATTTTAGCGCGAGGTCAGAAGAAAACTCAGTAAAATATACAGTTGAAAAGCCCAAGTTTCTCCTTGGGAAAAACGCGATTTACGAGAGGAAATTCGACAACATCGAAATGAACATACGCTTTTTCGTGAGGACAACGACGATTTGATCGTAAAGCAGACAACGGACGACATGGACGCATGCATAAACGAGCCGGTATCATGATACGAGTGTGCCTCTTGAAATGCAGGCGGCTTACTCCAAAGCGGTCCCGAAATCCGAATCAATGAATGCAAGGTGGATTGAATGGGTATCGGAACTTATGAATGAGTATCGGGAGCTTATGAATGAGCGCGAAGAATGAATGGCCGCGTGAAAGTGTATTACGCAAAGCGTCGAGAGGATAACGATCGGAAGGGGAGAGCCGTCGGATCCGGATGCTGGACCTGCCGTGTCACCTGGGAACCAGGAAGTAACCCGAGTTTGCATCTCACGGCACGGACCCGCGTCCCCGTCCCGAAACCGCCGCACAATGGATCCAGCCAATAGGAGAGGTCAGACCAAATTTGGAAACTTTAAACGCTCATAACTCCGTTTATACAAAATTTTGAGGCTCTAAAAGTGGTTCCATCGGTTTCCTCGTAAAATTTGCCTTTCAGAGCACCCCTTAAATTTTAAAATATGACGAAATCAACGTGAAAATTTGCAGTTTTAGTCAAAAATTTCGTATCCGACCTCTCGAATTGACTCGATCCACCGTGCGCCGTTACCAGAACTCCCGATCGCCAGACATTGTGCGGTTTCTCGAGGTATGATCTCTAGCGATTACACAGATAAATTTTGTATCGACAACCGCAATACTAAGTACTACGTAAAAATACTAAGTATTTAAAGTATCAGAGGGGCATACAACGTTTTCCAGATGGCAGAACAGTTCTAACTGCGAATTTCAGTGAATATTCTTATGATTACGTGCAAAAATCAGCATTATTTTGGAATGAAATTGCGCGGTCATTCTGAAAAATTCAATTACTTGCTTCAATTTTGCTAACTTGGAATGAGATGCAATTTAAAAAAATGTATGTGAAGGTTCACCATCTAACAAACTTTATTTTTATGTTAATCTTTGGCTATTTTCTTTAACGCATGAATATTAATTTTTTATCTCACTCTTTTGTCTGAAGAATGACAATTTCACTCTTGTTTTTATATTGCCTAATTTTTCTACCCCTTACATTTCACAGTATACTATTTTGTGCATACACAGAATACGTTAGTTTATGTGCCAATTTTGACCGCAAGCTATGATTCTCACGAATGGTTTTTATTGATTAAAAGAAATGGCTCGTTTTGAAAAGGAGGGAAATCTGTATTGATTATGGAACATCAACTTTATGACAAAAACACTTTATGACACCATAATTCAGTTCACAATAATAACTTTTTCAAAATAAGCTGTGTTTTGGTGAAGATAGTTTGTACAGTGCAAATATTCAATATTTTTATCTTTTGGTATGAAAATGGACGAATAGAATGTTTCAAAACTTTAGACTTGTTTCTGCGCAAAATGTGTTACCATTTGTAAATATTGAGGTCAGTTTATGAATTTTACTACAGATGAATGGAAGGTTTAAATTCAACAACTTAACAAAATTATTGAGAACAAGAATAATTGGCCTGCGAAGTCCTACCGTTTCTCCTGTTTGGATCACACCTTGACCAGTACCCGGTCATTCGCATGTGTAAAAAGTTAGGGAATCAAATTATTATTCTTAAGGTCAAGCGATCTTTCATGCCTATTAAGAGGGCGTTCCTGGTTTCACACTGGAATTTTCTAAGAGAAGGCAGAACTGCGACTGATTAATACTGTTTTTTTCTTTTGTTGAAAATGAAAATGATCATTTTTTATGTTAAGAGTGTATACACATTTGGAAGTCACAAACTATATAATCTAAGATCCAGAACTTGTATATTAGAAGGCTCCTTTTCAAGGAAGTTTTGTTGGTTTACTTGATCGGGTAAGTTTACGGTATTAAACATCAGAAGATGAGAGGATTTAAGTAGTTCAATTTGATCCATTTATTCATGAATTTGTAATTTATTGCGATGGTATTTAAATTCTATAAATTTATAAACTAAAAAAATTAAGTAATCCCACGAAATATGACCTAAGCCATGGCTCAGTCACTGTCGAGTTTAAGCAAGAATGGAACGTACATGAAACTAAAAGTTACAAAAAGTTCTCAGCCTCGGTAATTTAAAAAGAAAGAAAGAAAGAAAGAAAGAAAGAAAGAAAGAAAAAAAAAACACTTTTGGTAAGGTTTTCATTAATTTCGGGGAGAGCGTTAGGAAAACCGAAAACTTGCAGTAGAAAATCTTAGCTTTAATGCATATAATATTCAAATGATAAGAGTCCACTTAACAGATTGGCCATCCAAGAAAATAACATGAAGCAAATTGTGTGGTCAAGTAGAATTGTTGGCCTAAGATAGGATGAACACAGAGCAAATTGAATTATTTTTGGATGCGCTACTTGAGAAGCACTTGTGTTCGTATAATTTATTATGGGCGTGGACCTCCTATAGGCGCTTTTTCCAAGGTAGCCCTCCGCAGTGCAACATCCATGGAGTCGTGCGACACAAGATAAACAAACCGAAGGTCAAGAAAAGTCACCAAATTTCGATTTTGTGGATTTTCCTTCCATTTCGGTGAATGAATGCATAAGAGACTTTGTGCACAGATGATATCTCCGAAAGCATTCAAAATACTGCAGGCATTTTAAGTCAAGCATGATTTTTCCTTAGCCGTGAATGAGGTATCAAATTTTTATTTTTTTTTCGTTTTGCGATGGAAAATGTGTCATTTATTCCCCGAGGTGTAGCTTCATTCTGATTTTTTTCAAAGTAAATGACCATGGGATTATGCCCTCGGCATGCTAAAAAATGAAATCCTGAGTTGAGTGGAATTGGTGTTTTGTAAAATAAACATATGCAATATGCACATTTCCGTCGAAATTCGACTGATGCCATTCACTGTTGGCGGTTATGCGCGGGAGGTAGTACGAATATCATTGATCGATAGAATTGTATGATTTGACAGACATCGGTCAACGTGTCTCTTGGAGGGTGATAGCTTCGTTTATGGATTGTTCACGTACTACAAAAACATGCTTTTTTCTCCCGGAGAAAAACGCACTTCTGCGTAGTTCTCTAATAGATTGTTCACCCTGACCTCCCTTTATATCTTGGATAGCCTAAAGTTTGCAATCTCAAATGGATTGGTATCTCCCTCTGATCTTCTACCGTCTCATAATTACAACAGCAGACATAGAGATATCAAAAACGTAAAAGTCCGATTGAAACTATCTGAGCAAGATTGCAAATTTTCGGCTATCCAAATTATAAATGCTCTACCCTGGAATATCAAAAAACAACTCCGCGACGGTGATATCCGGAAGTTTTTCAATTTACTTCGCGATCTTCTTTTGAGCAAGGCTTTTTATAATTTGAACGAGTTTCTAAACTCATCGGTTGGGTAACGTTCTAACCACCAACTAATGTACAGTTGTAATTTATATTTTTAACTATTGTATAGTGTTTCTTGACCTGTGCCATAGCCCTAATAATGGGGCTCCCATGTACAAAGTTTTAATAAATAAATAAATAAATAAAATAATGTATACGATGACGCTGCAAAGCCCCTTTCATGCCACCTTCACATTAAAAATGTTTAATTTGGACGTGAGTGTCACATATTTTTGTTTCATCATCACCTAAATTGCACTAAATATACGTATGT